ATTTTTTTTGTTTTGACACCAAGTAAAATCTTTACGTTGAATCCACGGACTAAAAACAGCTGAAGAAAGATACAAAGATCACGAACCCAACAGTGACTGCTGGTGTGTGCCACAGGCCTCGCAGTCACCTTTAGGAAATTTATATAAGCTCATTTTACTGGCATGTATGCCATGACTCATGTGTAATTCTGGGGTACACTGACATTCGTAAGCACATTAGAAAGCATGTAGGGGGATTTAATCTGAAACGAACAAAGACGACCTGCACCAGTCTGCATTTATCGGAACGTAGTTAAACCACAAGCTGATCTGTCGTTGTGATAACATCTGTGAGGTTTTAGCTCTTGCGCTTGTTTCTGTGTTAACGTGTACTTATCTTAAGTCATCCGTTGTCTGTGTGTGTGTGTGTGACCACCCCTCAGCGATGGCTAGAGTTCAATCTTCACTGATAGCATCAACACAGGCTGCAGACCTGCAGTGCAACACACAGCATTATCGGTTTAATCTTCAAACACAATTTACTGCAAGCAGCTGGGCAACAATAACACCCACCACCCCAATCTAGGTCGCTTATAAGATGAAGAAAATTTTACACTTACGTAATTAAAAAAGTTCAATCAGTTAACGGCTTATAACACTTGTAACGTAAGACAAGGTTTATTTGTCATATATATATTGAAAGTCTACATAAAGGGACTGTGTTTACCATTTTTAAGAAGAGGGTTTCAGATAACGAGGTGTGTGTACAAGTAGTCTCTGTGAAATAAAAGCTCATGCTTCCTAAACGACATTTTGTACCGTGATTCAATCAAAGTCCTCTAGCAGATTTTAGGAATATCAATCTGGAAATGAATAGAAGGTGTTCTATATACAAAATATGGATAAAAATCAGTTACATTTTAGTTAGAATACCAAATCACAACAAGAGTTTCCTCAAGGTGTAACAGTGGGAAGGAAAAATTCCCTTTTAACAGGAAGAAACCTACAGCAGAACCAGGCTCAGGGAGTGAAGGGAAGCCAATACAGGAGAAATCTGCTCTCTCTTTCTAGCCCCTGTCAGGACTCTTGCTGCAGCATTTTGGATTAACTGAAGGCTTTTCAGGGAGTTTTTTGGACATCCTGATAATAAAGAATTACAGTCGTCCAGCCTAGAAGTAATAAATGCATGAAGTAGTTTTTCAGCGTCACTCTGAGACAGGATATTTCTAATATTCATTAGTTATATGCTACTCGGACCAACTTTTGCTCTCAGAGTTTCTGTGATTTTTCCTGTCATATATTTAGGAAACTGCAATAAACGTTTCTCAGACAATTTGGTCCGTGTTGACAACAGAGCATCACACAGTTGATCAGCTGCACATCCATGATGTACAGCTGATCCATGACTCATTTGTTCCACCACATCCCATGTTCAGGGAGGCTGTGGTGTTTAAAAGATGGGCAGTTAGTAGCCAAAGTGGGGCCCAAAGTGTGCCAAGAAAATATTCCCCACACTGTTACCCCAGCAGCAGCCTGAACCATTGATATCAGGCAGGATGGAGCCATGCTTTCATGCTGCTTACACCAAATTCTGACCCTACCATCTGACTGTCACAGCAGAGACTGAGACTCATCAGACCAGGTAACAAATTTTCACTCATCTATTTTGACATATGGTGCACCGAGAGATGCTCTTCTACATACATTGGCTACGATGTAACAAGTGGTCCTTTGAGTAACTGTTGCTTTCCTATTAGTTGAAGCAGTTTGACCATTTTGTTCTGACCTTCGGGATCAATTAAAGCATATTCTCCCACAAAACTGCTGCTCACTGAACATTTTATTTTTCCTGAGAATTCTCAGTAAACCACAGAGACGGTTGTGTGGGAAAAAGCAGATCAGCAGTGTCTGAAACACTCAGACCTGCCTGACACCAACAACCAGGCCACTTTCAAAGTTTTTAAAGTGAACTTTCCGATGCTCAGTTTGAACTTCAGCAAGCCATCTTACTTAAATGCATTGACTTGAAAATTTCCTAAACCAGCAGGTGAAGTTGGCTTTTATGCTCTTCTGCTGCTTCCTTTCAGGAAATCAAATTATATAGAGCAGTGGAGCAGGTCACATCACCCCAGTGACCCCGATAATGGAGAAGAAGCCTCTAAGACGTTAATACTGTCAAAGGGTTTATTTGAATCAAAACCACCATCTTTGCATAATGAACCACAGAGAAAGAATCCAAATGCAGGACATAAAACACCAAGAAAGAATAAAATCCAAATCTTTAACCCAAGACACAGGTCAAGACATTAGCAGGTGATAATATTAGAGCAAAGACCTGACAAAAAAGTAAGGTAAAAAATCAGGTAAAATATCCATACACAGAATAATAACTGCAAACATGAGAATCACAGGCATGCTGGAGTGCAACTATAACAAGACAGACTAAAGAGATTAATGAGTAATGGGAAAAAGGTGTTGCACAAAAAGGGCAGGAAAGAAGACACAAGTTAAATAGACATTTTACATATTGCAAATAAATTGCTGCTAAACAAATAGAGAGATAAATTAAAGATGAAATTTTTTTTTATTTTGAGGTGGATTTTATTATGATACTGCTATGTGAACATGAATAAACCCCGACAACCAGACACAGGGTGGGCATCTGGCTGGCCATCCTTTGATGTGGTTTCTTGGTTAGGGGTCGAGATCACTGTGGTCTCAAAAAAGGAAAAGAATAACATTTTTACACTTCATGTCTTTAAATTTGATTAAAAATACGGTATGTGTCAAATTTGACCTAGAATACCTTTGTTGCTCAAACCCCATGCATCTCAGAAATGTTATTATGTTACTGTACAAAAAACTGCTTAGTAATAAAAAAACATATTTTTAAAATACATTTCGTGTGCAGATGCTTGTATGCGTTGCCTAATGATTCTCGCACAGACCATCACTGTAACCTGCACACTGCAAGGCTCAGAAAGTGATGATTAAGGACTATTGGTGACAGTTATGAAACAACATTAGAGGTTTAATGGTGGAAACATTATGACTATGTATGATTGTTGGGTCTGTGTTTCCACATGCCCCGCTAGTTTAGAGACTTATTCCTCAGGAAGAGCGGAAAACAAGACAGAACATCTTCAACCGGCTTTTTAACTCGCTAACGAGGGAAGTTTGGGTCAGAACCAGCTCTTGGAGCTCACGCTCCTCACCTGACTCCAAAACCAACTCCTTCAAAGAGCAGCTGTCCTTGTAGCCTTTTATTGACAAACTGTTACAATACACATCACAGCAAAAGCACCTCCCTCCGTAAAACCCCCCTTGGTGACAAAGGCAAGGCACTATGTGTGTGTATGTGTGTGTGCACGTGTATGCATGTGCAAGAATGTGTGTGTGTGTGTGTGTGTGTGTTTGAGTGAGTGTGTGAGAATGTGTGTCTCTCTGTGTGCGTGACTTCCAACTGTTTCTAACAACATCCTTAGTCATAAAATGGTAATCTCCCCCACACCCAATATATGTTTCACCATGCACAAAACAATGAAGCCATCGAAAGGGCGGTCAAAGGAGCTTGCAAAAAAAGCGTCTGGACTTCTTTAAGTTGCTTGAAGACGTTTCACCTCTCATCCGAGAAGCTTCTTCAGTTCTAAGGTCAAATGGTGGAGAGTCCCAGATATAAACCTAGTGGGAGTGACCCCCCACAGAGGGACAAAAGGACCCCCTGATGATCCTCTAATCCCCTGAGCCAAGGTGTGAAACTGGGTGTGGGTCCCAATCAGCCAGAGTTTCGGGTGAGCTCATTGTGAAACCTGGCCCCACCTTCTCATGCGAATTCCTGAAGTCAGATGGCCCAAGATGTGAGTGGGTGTTAAGGCGTCTGGGGAGGGAACTCAAAACTGGATTATAGATGGCAGACAGTTGGTGTCGTAAACCACCGCCTCTGTTCAACGACGAGCGACCATCTTTGAGCCCAATCCACAATGAGCTCACCCGAAACTCTGGCTGATTGGGACCCACACCCAGTTTCACACCTTGGCTCAGGCGATTAGAGGATCATCAGGGGGTCCTTTTGTCCCTCTGTGGAGGGAAACTCCCACTAGGTTTAAATCTGGGACTCTCCACCATTTGACCCTTAGAACTGAAGAAGCTTCTCGGATGAGAGGTGAAACGTCTTCAAGCAACTTAAAGAAGTCCAGACGCTTTTTCTTCGCAAGCTCCTTTGACTACGATGACCTGGATGACTGAGAACCTTCACAGACATCCAAAGGGCAGGAAGCTTACCAAACATCAAACAGAATCTTCACAAGGGATGTGTCTGTGATAAAACCTCTCCCAGCACAGAGTGGCTGGAGAGGTGGTCAGAGACAAAGGAATGTCTTGAACCTATAGATTGAACTAAGACTCTCAAATTGAAGAACTACAATAACAACATTCAACAATTAGACTTAACAATGATGTAAAGACAATGCAAAGGCTTTGCAGAATGAGTGGTTTGTCTGACCTTGTTTTATCACACAATCAGAGTGGCGGTGAGCCCCTCAAACTTCCTGTTGCCTTATATTTGTTTTATAATTTTCCCCCCACTTTTCTTAGAACGACTTTGAATATGCAGATGAGGACATGTGAGCAGGTCCCCCTTTAAACTGTACAGGAGCATAAGGTTATTATTATTATAGCCTTTGACTGCCAGGTGAATAAGGACACAGCCCATAGCCACACACTATTAGCCAGTAAATTCATTAATATAGACCTCTTGACCTCATGACCTCTCCTACATGTGCACAGAGCCAGTCTGTGGGAGTCAGAATTGTGGCTGGGCTGTAAAGGATCAAATACTCAAATTTCACTCAATGTCATGCAAATCATTTTAGAACCAGCCGAGCCTAGTGATGGGTACTCAAGGACTTGCAATTCTGCATTTGGGTTGTGAGTCAGTGTATTCCCCATCTGCTTGGGGAAATGGGTCAATATCAGATAAAAACACGACAAAGAAGATCCTCCTCATCCCTCCTCTCTCAGCATCATGAAGACTCTCTGCTTCTCTCTGGGACTGCTGCTGCTTGCAGCCTGCTGCTGTGATGCCATCCGTGAGTGTTTATTCCTTTATGACTCCTTGCATTTGTTTGAAAATTTACAGCTGACATGTTGATACTGACTTTAGTCTTTTACCTTGCTCTCAGCGAAAGGCGTAAAGTTCAGCACAGCTCCTGGAACCTGCTGCTTCAACTTTAAAATAAATGCAATACCGGTGAAGTTGGTGTCCTTCATCACCCAGACGCACAGCTCCTGTCCCAAGAAGGCGTACATGTAAGTTTGATATTTTCAAACAGGACTGGTCATGAATAAAGTATAAAAAGGGATATGTGAAGTTTAGACAGGCCGTCTGCAAGAACTCAATCAAAGCAGTGTGAATAAAACGATTTTTGTGTGCATGTTTTGCAGAGTCCACACTGTCAGAGGAAAAAAGATCTGCTACACTCAGAGCTTCCAGTGGGCTCAGGACATGTATCGGCTCCACAACACTGAAGGCAGCAGCTAGCCGCCACCAAGATCGTCAGCTATCAGCTTTAGTTAATAATTGACTGCTTTTTTAAGGCCTTATGGCTTCGCTTTGTATTTGTATTTTCATAAAACTGGCTTAAAAATAAACAAAAAATTTATGCAAGTTCTCTGAAAAGACTGTTAGACGTTTATGTGACTGATCAGATGTGTGTTAGGTATGTTTTGTGCAGGGCAAGAACTGTAAAGAAATAATAATACAAAAGTGCTTTTTACTCTGCTGCCTCAAGCTCAAAGCTGTAAAAAGATCTTTATAATCTCATTAAATACAGATCTTAAAAAAACTGTCATCCAGTGTTTCTCAGTCTCTTGTTTTCATTTGAACAACTCTTTGAATCTGTAAAAATGGTAAAAGATATTCAGAGATAATAACCAGAGAAACAGCAAAATGTCACGGTGGGTGTTGGCCAACCGTGGGGATGTGGGGGAAATTGAACCCAAACGCAAGACTTGGTGCAAAGAAAGCAGTGTGTTTATTTACAGTGAGCCAAAAGTTACATAACAATAAATCCCTGTGAGTTCCCTCGTCTCCGGTGCCGTGTCTTCTTCCCAAAAAGTCCTTGTTTAGTGCTCTCTGCTCCTGTGTCTCTGCACTCCCCGTGCTCACTGCTCTCTCTCGTCCCACGCTTACATGCTGCTTACACCAAATTCTGACCCTACCATCTGACTGTCACAGCAGAGACTGAGACTCATCAGACCAGGGAACAACTTTTCACTCATCTATTTTGACATATGGTGCACCGAGAGATGCTCTTCTACATACATTGGTTACGATGTAACGAGTGGTCCTTTGAGTAACTGTTGCTTTCCTATTAGTTGAAACAGTTTGACCATTTTGTTCTGACCTTCGGGATCAATTAAAGCATATTCTCCCACAAAACTGCTGCTCACTGAACATTTTATGTTTTCTGAGAATTCTCTGTAAACCACAGAGATGGTTGTGTGGGAAAAAGCAGATCAGCAGTTTCTGAAACACTCAGACCTGCCTGTGTCAAATTTGACCTAGAATACCTTTGTTGCTGAAACTCCATGCATCTCAGAAATGTTATTATGTTACTGTACAAAAAACTGCTTAGTAATAAAAAACATATTTCTAAATACATTTCGTGTGCAGATGCTTGTATGCGTTGCCTGATGATTCTCGCACAGACCATCACTGTAACCTGCACACTGCAAGGCTCAGAAAGTGATGATTAAGGACTATTGGTGACAGTTATGAAACAACATTAGAGGTTTAATGGTGGAAACATTATGACTATGTATGATGTAAAGACAATGCAAAGGCTTTGCAGAATGAGTGGTTTGTCTGACCTTGTTTTATCACACAATCAGAATGGCGGTGAGCCCCTCAAACTTCCTGTTGCCTTATATTTGTTTTATAATTTTCCCCCCACTTTTCTTAGAACGGCTTTGAATATGCAGATGAGGACATGTGAGCATGTCAGACTTAAGCCGAGGGAAGCAGGACAAATCACTTCAGATCTGAAACACCAGCATCACCAGGTCTACAGCGAACATGAAGACTCTCAGCCTGACCGTGGGACTGCTGCTCGTGCTGTTTACTATTTACTACTGCGACGCCTCACGTAAGTCTGTTAGTCTACTTCCTGCATCACACTGGAGGGAATTTCAACTGTGAACATGAAATTCTTCATTTTCCTGTATTTTAAGTGATTAAAACAAAAATGAAACTAATTATTATCTCAGGGAAAGGACAAATGATTGAAAGATTTTTATATTTTAAAAATTCCCCTCTTGCGGCTGTGGCGGTCTAAGCTCGGATCCTCTACCAGGACTGTGTTACATATATTTGTGTGTGCATGTGTATACAATTACATTTTTAAATATGAAGCTGTATATAATCATATATACAATTTTTACAATTTTTGTTGGATGTTGAAGTTTCAAAAGGTTATTTAAATATCCAGCACCTAACTTTGCCCTTACTGTCCAAGTGTAAAAAGGTATCATTAGCATAAGCTAAAATAAATTTAACCATTTTCTTCTAAAATCTGCTGTCACATAAAAATAATACAAATAATATCTACATTTTAAATTATATTAAAAAATAATATTTTTGTTAAAAAAAAACAACTAAAACTTTAGCTTGCCTGGGGTAGCTGTACATCTTTAGCCAACAACTAATTTGCATCTACTATCATTTAATATTTTAAATTACATATATATATAATTTTACTTTACATGCTTACACACTAGTATCTGCACAACAGAAAAAGCCTTACCCAGTTTAAAAAATAAAAAAAATCTTACACTAGGACATAAAATATAAGCTTTCAAACTGTAAGTTTTGTTTAGATATAATTGAAAACAAGTTGCGACATAGAGTCGTAGCACTAAAACATACCCTGTGTTTTTCTCTTACAGCTTCTGGAATGGGTTTAGTGCCACCTGATCTTTGCTGTTTTAAATTCTTTGATAAAAGGATCCCAAAGGTGCACATCCTCTCCATCAGAAAAACTCACAGCAAATGTTTAACAGAAGCCTTTGTGTAAGTTTGTACTTCAACATCTCTTTGCTGCCCTCACTAATATTTGCAAAGCATTGTATTATCCTTCTTTTCTATGAAGAATAAAATCTGTGATCTGAGAACAAAATAATGACACTGATTTTTTTGCAGGATCAACACGCCCAGAGGCGATTACTGTGTGAGACAGAATGATGACTGGGCAATGGAAGAGTTCGTCAAACGCCACAATTAAGACATGAAGAATCTACCATGACCCCAATGACCGGCAACCAGCGCTGGAGTTTTAGCTCTTTGTACTTTGCCTGCTTAAGTAGTCTTACTATTATTGAAATGCGGATACTTTTATTTTGCATTTATCAGCTTAATTATCAGCATAAGTTTAGTAAAAAGTTGCATCTCTGAAAAGGGAATTTGAGTATTTGGTATTTGTTTGTCTCTCACTCACTTTGGCAGCAGGACTTTAAAGATCTAAAGATTGAAATTTAAAGGGATTTCACTCGGGTGAGGACAAAGACAGCTGCAAACATCACACATTCCTGTTTAGTTAATGAATTCTCCCTGAATACTTGTTTTTTTTTTGTAGTGCAATGTTTCTGATGCGAGTCCTAATCAGGACAAAAAAGTAGCAGGCACAGAAATGTGATAATTTATGTCACTTGATTCCTTCCGACCTGAGAACAGAGACTATGTCAAGTCTTGTTAAACCAGATTATCCCTGCAAGAGCTTCACGTGACGACGATAGTCTTCAAGTTGAAGTGTGACAGTAACAATGAAGGAAAGTTCTTCCATAATAACACAAACAGTTATCCTGCTGCAATATGAATCGTTCTCCACAAAGATATAAATCACTGCTGGAGGACATCACTGAAGAATGGAGGGCTGCTTCTCCTCAGTCAGGGTGTAGCTGATTTAGATCAGTCTGTCTTCTCACCACCGTGTTTCACTGTAGCTTCGATCCACTGTGGTATCCATCCCTCGCCTGTTTCTCTCCTTACATATGCCCTTTTTTTCCTGCTGCTAATATCTAACGTAGAATTATCATTAAAAACAATTTTAAATTATTTTGATGCCTTAGACGCTTACATGATTTCCATATTCAGATAAAAATAGTGCACGTGAAATTTAATGTCTCCAGTCATTTTACCATTTACTTTCACCGTGCCATTGTTATGCAGATACAGTGTGTCCAAAGCATTTATATATCTCTGTATATTGTTTTTCTTTATTCATTAAAGTTGCATTTCACAAAACTCATCGACTCTGTCTGACAGTGAATGTTCAACTGTGCTTTTATGCCGTGGCCTTCTCTTTGAATTCATCAGAATAGTGAATAAAATCAATAAAATATCCCACTTTAAAATACAACAAATTTTAAACTATAAAAATGCTGGTGAAAACATTTGAGTAAAAATTGTTTGTCATTTTAGGAAAACTTTATAACAACAATCACAAGGGTGCTGAATTTCTCGTCTTGCACCCAAGTTCAGGTATGCTTGTTGTATTTATGTAGGTGCTTGTTAGTGGTGAGCGCTGCACATTCGGGACTGTGGGAATCATTGAGACACTCAGACACTGAGCCATGGCTCTGTGCTACATACAGAGATTTCTGCACCTCTTGGTATTTAGTGACACTTTGTATATAGTTTATTTTATGGCAATGACAATTTTATTTAGCTAGTACATTTCATTACAAGCCAACTCAATGTGCTTAACCCTTGTGTGGTGTTCGTATTTTTGTTACTCAGCCAGTGTTCATGGGTCTGGTGGACCCGCTAGAGTTTTGGCTTTCCAAATTAACACTATCAAACAATTTTATGTTAAATTACTCAACAGATGTTTACTTCATCCCAATTACAAGCCATATGAACAGCAAACATGGTTAATTTTTTCCCTTTACCTTTGTTAGATCACATTTATGAATTAATGTGCTTCTCGTTTTTCTTTTATATAAAATGTTATAAATAAATCAGTTATAATCAAGTGGAGTGAGTGGAAAGACACAACACATTTACACGTGAAAAAATAATTAATTGTTTAATTTTTCTTTTGAAACAAACTGAACACGGGTCTCACAGACCCGAACACCATACAAGGGTTAACACAGAAAAACATAAAAACCCATGTTGGTTTACAATGCCAAAGGCAGTGAAAACGGCAAAATACAATAAAACTGTTCTGTCGTGATGGGTCATCGGAGTCTAATCTCCAAATACATTAACTATCTCACTAAATCATGTTTAAATTCTTCCAAGTGATCTTTCCTTATGAAATAGTTCTTAATGATAGAAAGCAATTCTCATAATCTTATTGCTGTGATTATCAAAACTAAGAATGATACCAATTCCTGACTTGCCGACTGTATCTTAGAGACAGAGGTGATAAATATGAAAAAAATTGCCTCTGACTTCCTGTAACAGCAACTAGTATTTCTGTCTTTTCTCTGATCAGTTCTAAAAAGTTTTGATACATCCAGCAATTAATGTAATCAGTTAGCACATTAATGTTCAAGGAACTGACCTCCCAGCCCATTGTTCCTACAGTGGTGGTAGTTTCAATCATTATGCAAATGTACTGTTTATAAGATCGGGGAAACCTGCAGTCAGCTGAGACTGAAGAAGTCACTCAGTTGAGTGACGAAACGTTTCTCCCAATTCAATTCAATTCTTCAATTCAATTCTTTATTTATTTGTCACATGTAGTTATAACTAGTACAACACACAGTGAAATGTTTTTTCCGGCTAAAAAGCACTCCCCCCCCGACTGTGCATCTTACTAAACTTATAATAAAAAAATATCTATATAAAAGTATAAAAATGTATAATATCGTGCAAAATATTACGCTGTAATAGTTAAGAGCTATAGTGTACGTATTTACATAAATACAGATGTAAATGATAAAATACAAATAAAAATAAGGATAAAACTCAAAAGAAAATTATATACTGTGTATGGAATTGTCCATCATGTTGTCCGATTTGTGTTTTGATTGAGGAGTCTCACTGTTTGTGGGTAAAAACTCCTCCTGAACCTTTCAGTTCTTGTTTTCAGGCTACAGAGGCGTTTCCCTGACCTCAGTGGCCTGAACAGTTTGTAAGCGGGATGGCTGGAGTCGTTAGTGATCCTGATGGCCCGGGATCTGCACTTTTCAGCGTAGATGTCCTGCAGTGTTGGTAAAGATGTTCCCATAGTGCGTTCAGCTGTGCGCACGACCCTCTGCAGGGCTTTCTGTTGCTGTACTGTGCAGTTCCCGTACCACACCGTGATGTTATTACACAGGATGCTCTCAATGACCCCGGTGTAGAATCTCCTCTGGATGTTCTTGGAGATCTTAAACCTCTTTAAACGCCTCAGATGATAGAGGCGCTGTCTGCTTTTGCTGATGAGGAAGTCCGTATGTGTGTTCCAATTAAGGTCCACTGAAAACATTACGTCCAGATGAACAGAAGAATTTTGGGGGTTCTGTTTATAAGTTGATAAGTTTGTGAACAGAGGTTAGATCATCAGAGGAATGTGATAAGTACAACTGTGTATCATCTGCAGAAGAATGGTAGGCTATATTATGATTCTTTATGGCCATACTGAGTGGAAACATGTAAAGGTTAAATTGTAATGGACTCAGGACAGACTCCTGAGGAACCCCTTGTTGAATTTTCATTTGTGCAGATCAGAAACTGCTAGTTGAGACATAAAAACTTAAAAGCCCTTTAGATACAAAGAGAGGCATCATCAAAAACCGGACCTGTCAAACCAGCTGTGTCATGAAGCCCTTGAATCAGAATGTCAGTGCTGAAAACAGCAGTGAGATCAAGAAGGATTAAAATCTAAACTCTTAGTGAGTCACTATTGATCTTTAGGTCAGTGATGACATTACAAAGAGTTGTTTCTGTGCTTAATTGGTTCTGAACCCTGACTGGTCATAACCACTGTGAGAAAAAAGGAATTTATTTTATTTGTCATAATACTGTTGTCAAATAGTTTACTGAGAAACCTCATAAAGCATAGTGTTTAACTTGGTCTTTAATATTGCACTGTAACATATCCTTACATGTTCTACTTGTAACTATAGTGCAACATAGAAATTATTCATTTAGAGAAGTAGTTTTATGTCATTTACCATGGCACACTGTTTCATTATAATACGACTTCTGTTTGCCAACGTGTAACGATGCTGCACAGCAGGGTCATTGCATTTCATAAGCTGGTTTGCACTGAATTGCATGATTTGTAGTATAAGTGGTGGGACTGCCACATAATAATGGGCCACGACTGATTAACACATGAAGCTATATTGTTACATCCAGCCTGTGGGCCTTGGGTTTAACATGTGTGGCATACACCGAAATAGCCTTATCACCTTTATAAGCTTTGATCTTCACCAGTTTAACTGAAAGAACCCAGCGTCCTCAGATGCCTTCGGATGAATTCACTGCTTCTGATGAGTCATTTCTGTCTTCTTGATTTGTGTTAAGCTGTATTTTTTCAGTGTGAACGACCTCAAGCTGCTGTTCACTCTTTGTACAGGAAAGGTTTTGTCTGCCACAGTTGTTGATATAATCTTGTTGAAGACAGCCAGAGCAGTTTTATTTTGTCACTGTGCTTATTTGTCTTAAATGAACTACAGTGTAAAGCACTCTGGAGCACAAAGCTTCACTGAGGCAGCTGTTCTTTAGAAACGTACTATAAGTTTGTAGTGCAGTAAGATGTTTACTTGTTTACACAAGCATTACGTAGGAGTACGTAATGATAATGGGTATTGCTTTATAAATAACTGGACATGAATAGTTTGAGATCAATAAATAATGTTGTTCTACTACTTTAAAGCTATATCACATTTTGGGGTCAACTTGAAGGAAAGGCAGATGTGAAATGTGACATGATATTCTAAATCTTAATATGGTACTTTCTAAATGTTCACAATACACAGCACATTTGTAGGGATTGTAGTTTTTAAGTTATGAAGCTTGTTGTCAATTTTCTAGACAAAATCAAGCGTTAAGTTGACCTTGAAGAGCTCAGTGGAAATAAGCCAAATTTTAATGGATTGTTAACATGAGCTCTACTCTCCTCCTAAAGGTTTATCTGAACCAATGCAAAACCTTTCTTGCAGATTCCAATTTAAGTGACAAAAACTCACATTTCTTTCTCAATATTTTGGGTACTCATCAGGCAGGAGACCAACAACCCCATAGTCAGTGCGGAACAGTGGTGAAAGAAAAACAGCTTTTTTTCATTTGTGTTTGTTAAGTGGCAGCACGGTGGCATGGTGGTTAGCACCGTTGCTGCACAGCAAGAAAATCTTGAGTTCAATTCCATCATCAGGCTATCAGGCCTGCAACAGAGGCAAAACAAAGATGAAACAATCAAGCGGTGACAGATGTTGTAAACAGACACCAAATATTTTCACTCATCAATGAGACCTGAAACCCAGGCACCGAAGTGACTGAAGACGTAGTGAAACAAACAGACAAAGGCCAAATTCTCACAAACTGTTCCCTTGAGGAGCGAAGAAAGCAGGTGAAACATGCCAGAGGAAAACATTCCATAAGAATTTGCTGCCAGGTTGTTTTACTGGAAGTTTGTTATTTATCTAAGACATGTTGTGTTTGTGCAGCATTTTCAAAACTATCATAAAGTGTATTTAGGTTGGTGTCAGGAACATTGTGCCAACTTGGAAGTCAAAAAAGCAGCGATAAAGGCTCAGTTTTCAAATACAGTCTCAGTATCTTTATCCTGCAAAATGTCCAGCAGGACTGAATTTTTCAGACATGACCAAACACAGTGCGTAGAAGTTCCTGCTGAGGCCTTGCAGTTCAAACAGAGGTGGAAGCTGATGATTCATTTGTGTTTTATGTGGTGAGAGTTTCACACGGTGCAGAATTTTACATTTCAGCAGGGTTACGCAGTACAGTTACACACTGATAACTTTTTTGTATGATCCCAAATCACATCCTACTCTTCTTCAGTGATGTCTACAGCAAGTTTATTTTTCCACACCTGTGCTACAGCATGGATGCTCATTACATCCAACACATCAGTTTGATTCAAGGCACTGTAAAGATGAGATATGGCTTTCTTGGCTGGGAGAAGTAACTGCTGATATCCTACTTTTAATATTGAAAGTAGTTTTTTGGGGGGTTTTGAAGTCTGAGAACTGAATGTATCTAAAAAAGAAAGTAAAGTTGGGGATGTTTATTGTTTACCACAACGATGCCTGTAAGTCTGCTTCTAGTGCTTTGTTAGTTCTTTGAATTTTCTGTCTTTCTCTTTATTGAAATGGAGAGTGAGACAGAGCGAGGACATAAAACAGGAGCCTTTAATCTGTATCCTTTATTAACAAATTGTGTTTTTGTTGATGTTTGTTGCCTGATGAGCATTAGCCTTAATCATTTCTGATATGCTGTAAGTCATTAGAAACAGACACAATATTGAGTAATCCCTGTTTCTTTTGTTGCAGCTAATGATGCAGAGACGTGCACGGCAGGTCTTACCACACTGCCGCTGATGAAGTAGATGATAATAAGATGTGTTCAGCTGAAGAAAGAGAAATCCAATCTCCACTCAATGATCAAGCTGGGGGAAAGAGAGAAACTGAAAACAAACCAACACTCATTATTGTCAATGGGGCCCGGAGGCCAGTATGTGGGTGGGGACCCAAATCAAAAGACAGGCGGAGGGTTTTTCACAAGCTTTATTATAAACAGAGAGATAAGCAATGACACACACCATGGAAATGTGGCAGCGAGAAGATGGTTTCTGAATTTGAAGCTTACTTTGCAGGTTAGGAGCGTAAGGTTCTGGAGGCCTGCTTACCACAGTTAGGTAGCTGATGAACTGGCCAGTCTCCATAGCCAGTCTTGTTAATGCTCGCACTCAGGTGGGGCTCGGGCCTATGCAGGACAGTAGTGATGACAGGGTCTCTCATTGGTACATCCCACACTTTATGGTAGGTTGTGCTACTGGCTTTAAGTTGGCCTCTAGTGTTGTTCGCCATCCAGTCCATCTATAAAGATAATGCATGCACTGTAATGACTTTGAACTGGCGCTGAATACATCTTAAGTGCTGCCTCGCTGATTGCTGTCAATGGATATTGACAAATGGCTATAGCCTGGAAATATGGTGCACCTAGCATTCAGCAAATATACAACATGTAAACATAATACATCCATACTACATAATATAGTGTGGAAAAACTGAGTATCAATATACAAATGCATCAGATATCAGCAAATATCTCAAATATTGTCTCGCGATTCTACTGTCGACTTTCACTGCAGCCTGAGTAAAGGAAGGTTGTGCAGACAGTGAAGATTGGGACTAAGCATGCATTATCAGTGCATGTATTTATTGGTAGAGCACTGAGTGGTTTGTTTGAGCGTTTTATCAGATATATTGAGTCCCCGAAACTTCCTGTTGTCTCATGGTACAGAAAAACCCCAATCTATTAACCACCTTTGGGGTTGTTGATCATTTTTCCAGTTTCTAAGAAATGGTTTGAATATGCAGATGAGAACGTGACTTAAAGCAGGGTGATCGGACCGATCACTCAGACATCTTCTGAAACATCAGGATCATCAGGTCTACAGTGAAGTCAGCATGAAGACTCTCAGCCTGACAGTGGGACTGCTGCTCGTGCTGTTCACCGTTTACCACAGCGATGCCTGTAAGTCTGCTACTTGTACTTGTGTTAGATCAGTTTTTGAATTTCTGTCTTTCTCTGCATTCAGACACAGAGTGAGACAGAGCGAGGACATCAAACTCATATAAGTTCATGGCCATGAAGACCAGTGTTGATCTTAAATTCTTTACTGTAATTAAAAGTCAGATTGAATCCTCGTGTAAACAAGTGTGGTCACATGTTCGGCATGTACTTCACTGAGACAGACTTTTTTAAAACTTAAATTCTTTTTTCTATTTTCTATGTATCTCTGTCTTTTATGTCTTTGCTTAATAATCTTACTCCAAGACATAAAATAAGAGCCTTCAAATGGTATCTTTCATTAAGATATAACAAATTGTATTTTGTTACTTAATGAAGCATTAAACTTCATTATATCTGGTATGTTGGAGAAGCAGCCACAGCACTGAGTAATTCCTGTTTTTCTGTTACAGCTAAGGCAATGATTACTCGTGACCTTTGCTGTTTTCGCTTCTTTGACAAACGGATCCCAAAGGCGAACATCGTCTCCATCGTGAAAACTCACAGACAATGCCCCACACCAGCATTTGTGTAAGTTTGTCTTTCACTGTCTCTTTGATTCGATCACTAATGTTTACCAAGAAGTCATATCTAGGGATTGAGAGTAACGTAGTTTCTATTCTCTGTATGTCCTGTACATGTGGCAGAATTGACAATAAGGTTGACTTTGACTTTGATGTATAAGCAATGTATGATCGTCCACATTGAAGCCATAACTCTGCTATTAAGAGTAAAATGTGTAAATATGAGAGCAAAATAATGATTCTGACTTTTCTACAGGATCAAGACACCCAGAGGGCTTTTCTGTGTGAAACAGACTGTGAAGTGGGCAATGGAACAATTTGTCAAACAAGAGAGAGGAGCAACTAAACCAACGCCACAGTCAACAGCTCAAACATCTTTCATGACTTCGATGAATGCTACAAGCCGAAATGCATCAGTCACTCCATGAAGTTCCTTCAGAAAGTTTTTATTTTTTGCATTATCACAATATCAGCCTAATAATTTGTGGATTATATCAAACCTCTGGCAAATAGTTTTCAGTATTTAGTTAATGAACAAAGCTATTGGGGCACATCTGAATCTTTGAATTCAGGTCTTTTCTGTCTTGTTGCCGCAGGTGTATCAAATCCACCAAAATGCCATTTAGTCTGTACAAACACTTGTGAACGTCTGAGTTGTTATGTTGACCCAGCTTGATGTGACAGTATCTCAATATCTCAGTTTATAATGCAACAATATATAAAAAACATGTATTGAATCATTTGCTTTCACTATGCCATTTAAACGCTGCATTGTTTTGCTTCATCCTGCATTAAAGTTTCATTTCACAAAACTGAGCGACTGAACCTGGAACAACATTTATTATGATGATGTGGGAACAACACCGACACGAGGATAACAGATCGTGCCCCTTTGTAACAGTGAGGCAGACCATGACAAGTATAGTGGAACAAGAGGCATTTATTCACCATATAGCTCAGAACAAGACAATGAGAGATTTTTCAAGCCTTCTCTCTTCACAAAACAACAACCATCACCCTGACTAATTGAAGCTGGCATCCTTAAATACTCTCAGCTGTCACAGGCTAAACCATTATTCCATTAACAGGTGAGTTCTAAAATCCCACCCCTCCACCACGTTATACAATACATACATTTCAATGAATAAATATATACATACATTTTACATTTTCATATTAATAAATATTTTACACTTCTGACACCATATCCATTATTATAAAACCCCCCAAAACCCCAAGACAAACGATTCCCCACACTCGATTAACTCATGGCCTCTCCCAGAACCAATAAATGGTGTCTGAAGTCCTGGAAACGTTTGCCCCAAAACCCTGAAGAAGACACAGGAAAGAAAGGTGAGTAATCACGTCTCGGTCACTTCTTTGCACCACCTTTATTTCTAGACTTGTCACACACACATTTGCGTTAGTTCTCCTTACTGGTAAACCTTATTTGCTCTCAATCACAACCTTTCCTTTTCACAGACAACGACTACATTTCTTGATGAGTAGCAGCTGTGCAGGACCTGGAACAAAGGCTACCAACTAATTTTAAAATGCACAATAAATATTCAATATCCCCAGATTCCACCAATATGTCTCCTGCCACACCAGAGGAGACAAGACTTTAGACCATGTGTATTCCAACCTGGCTGGAGCCTACAAAGCCACACCCCTCCCCCACATTGGACAATCGGACCATCTCTCCCTGTTCCTCACACCTCGGTATTCACCACTCATCCAACGTGTGAAACGTGCTGTGAGGACAATTAAAGTGTGGCCAGAGGGGACAGACGCAGTGCTCCAGGACAGATTTAAAAACACAGACTGGAATATGTTCACGCACACAGACCTGGACCAGTACGCCTCATCTGTACTGGATTACATCTCCAAAACCACAGACAGTGTCACCACCCAGAAACGGATCACCATGTACCCCAACCAGAAGCCTTGGATGAACCGGGATGTTCGTCTCCTCCTGAAGGCCCGCAACACTGCCTTTAGGTCAAGAGATGCACACGCCTACAGTACAGCCAGGGCTAATCTAAAGAAGGGCATCAAAAAAGCCAAACACCATTACAAAAAGAAGGTAGAAGAACACTTCTCCAACTCCAACCCCCGACGCATGTGACAAGGACTCCAGACCATCACAGACTACAGGACCACCAAACCCTCCCCCGCATCCTCTGATGTCTCCTTCCTCAACGAGCTCAACAACTTTTATGCTCGTTTTGAGCGAGGGAACCCCACAACCACAACCAAAGCAGACGTGACGCCAGATCGCCAACCTCTGACTCTCTCCCCCACCGATGTAGGAGCGGTGCTGAGCAAGATCAATGTCCACAAGGCTGCAGGTCCTGATGGCATCCCCGGGTGTGTTCTCAGAGCGTGTTCTGGGGAGCTTGCAGGAGTGCTCACAGACATATTCAACCTGTCCTTGGCCCACGCTGTGGTACCGGCCTGCTTCAAATCCACCTCCATCGTCCCGATACCCAAAAACTCCAACCCATCTTGCCTCAATGACTACCGCCCAGTAGCACTCACCCCCGTCATCACTAAGTGCTTAGAGCAGCTGGTCCTAGCACACTTCAAATCCTGTCTCCCCCCCACCCTGGACCCCCACCAATTCGCATACTGCCAGAACAGGAGCACAGAGGATGCAGTCTCCATCGCACTGCACGCTGTCCTCTCACACCTGGACAACAACACCTACGCCAGAATGCTGTTTATAGACTTCAGTTCAGCATTCAATACAATCCACCCCTCACAACTCATCAGGAAACTGACAGACCTGGGCATCAGCTCCCTCATCTGCAAATGGTTACTGGACTTCCTGACCAACTGCCCCCAACATGTCCGGCTGGATAACCACTGCTCATCTACCATCACAATGAACACCGGTGTACCACAAGGCTGTGTGATGAGCCCTTTCCTTTACTCCCTCTTCACCCACGAATGCAGACCTGCTGATGGTTCCAACACCATCATTAAGTTTGCAGATGACACCACGGTGATTTGCCTCATCAGTGACAACGATGAGGCCGCCTACAGGGAGGAGGTGGATCGTCTGGCTGAGTGGTGCGACACAAACAACCTGCTGCTTAACACCGAGAAGACCAAGGAGCTCATCGTGGACTACAGGAGGAATGCTGACCCACATCCTCCCATCCACATTAAGGGGACGGCTGTGGAGCGTGTGAGCAGCTTCAAGTTCCTGGGAGTCCACATCTCCGAGGATCTCACCTGGACGACCAGCTGCTCCAAGCTGGTCAAGAAGGCTCACCAGCGCCTCTTCTTCTTAAGGACTCTGAGGAAGAACCATCTGTCCTCAGACATCCTGGTGAACTTCTATCGTTGCACCATCGAGAGCATCCTGACCAACTGTATAACAGTCTGGTACGGGAACTGTTCTGCCTCGGACCGGAAGGCGTTGCAGAGGGTCGTGAAAACTGCCCAGCGCATCGCCGGAGCACCACTTCCTGCCATAAAGGACATCTACAGGAAGCGGTGTCTGAAAAGGGCTGGGAAAATCATCAGAGACCCCAGTCACCCATCACATGGACTCTTCACCCTCCTGCCCTCTGGGAGGCGCTACAGGAGCCTCCGGACTAAGACCACCAGGTACCGGAACAGCTTCTTCCCCACAGCTGTCAGACTCCTGAACTCTGCCTCCTGACCTCTGACCCACGTTAACACATGGACTGAACATACACACACCCACAATGGACAACTGTACCCTCAAACACACAATAATAACATGGACTGAACCACCACTCACAACCACTAGCACTTTATATAGCCTCTGTAGAAACTACCTACACCCTCACTTATCTTAACTGCACTACTGTATAGCTCTGTGTAAATAATCATTCTGTACATATGATAATTTTTAACCCTACAACTGTTTACAACTTGCATAGTTCCCATTTCTGTATAGCTGTATATCTCAGATTTCTGTAAAGTTATTTATTTCATATTCTGTATAGTTTTTCATATTTATATCCTGTTCATATCCTGTACATAGCTTGTACTCACTACAGCCTGTACATACTTATAGTTATAGAATATTCACAACATACTTCATACCGTGTACATTATAACATACCATAATAGACCCATTTCTGTAATATACTCACATATCTATATTATTGCTAATATATATTGTAATATATCTATATCACTAAAGCACTTCTGGATGGATGCAAACTGCATTTCGTTGCGCTGTACCTGTGCATGTGCAATGACAATAAAGTTGAAATCTAATTCTATTCTATTCAATCAATAGTTAAACTTGTGTGCAAATCTATGCTTAAAGTGCAACGTAAGGTGCTTTTAATAAAGTGAAAAGTGTGCCCCTATAACTGCTATACAAATTATTATATAAATGGTAGTAAGGGAGTCCTCTTCCTTTCACCCGTCTTTAAAAAAATGTAGCAAGCTTGAACACCTTTCTATTACAGCTCAGGATAGGAAAGCGTTTTTCCATTTCTTCCATCATACAATCTATAACTGAATATTTTGATTCTGAATATTTGTTTGCTGTGTGGGTCTACATGCGGTCCAAGGCAAGAAGTAACAAGAGAATCATTAAGTTTTCTTGCTTTCTCTTTACCACAATATCAGTCGACAGGTCATCAAAGAAGGATCCAGTATAGCAGGGGTAGACAACCTTTCTGATGATGAGTGCCATCTAAAATTTCCTCAGAGGTCAGTGTGCTATATGATTGCATTAGCAATAAATTTAACAACGCTCTATATTAACAGTTACACACTATATAGAACCACTTTACAGAATTATATTTGTTCGCAGATATTGGCCGCTATCAGCAAATAGTTATCAGCTATTTTGAAACAAAGAAAGACACTTTTTATCCATACCAGCAAATGAACTGTACAACAGAAAATGCAAATGCTATTTATGGCCTCCTCACAACAATGATAAGAAAAATAAACTGGGCCAATATGGCATGTTTGTTAATACAGGGATACACATGTTATGTGATCTCTGGTCTCCCACTCAGAGACACAGGTCTCCGAGTGTCCAGCATTCAGACAGCTACCTGAGGACACTCTTCATGTGAGAGAAAATCTGCTCACACAGATATGTAGAGCCAAATACTATCAGTAAGGCCTCTGCAATGTTCTGAAGACAGTTAAACTTGTCAGCTAGTGATGTCCAGCAGGTGAAAATGCAGCTCCATGAACACGCACAGCTGTGGATTCCAGCTGCATCTGTATTTCTGCAAACTTTGACCCCCCACAGAGTTGAGCTTTTCAGTTCAATCAGCTGCATTTTGATGTCCTCTGTGTCCAGCTGGTAACGCGAGACAAATCCAGCTGCTCATTAAAGCTTTCTGGTTTGATCAGAAAAGAAAACATTGGTCCATACACCTGAAAGTCCCCAAAACACGTTGTGAATTTTGTCTCGAGTCTACGGATGTATCCGTGTATTGCTGATGCTGCGCTGAACGGAAAGCTCCTGAAGCTTTTGAAGTGTCAGAATGTGGAAAGCTAACAACGTCCCTCTCATCAGTAGGCTAAGTTATTTTTAGCCAATTACAAGCTGAATCTGGTAGTTGGGGTTGTTAGCTAAGATACCGTCATTAAGAAGAGGCACAACTAATGTGTCTATGCTAGCTGATTTGCAATGTGCACCGCTGGCACCATTTATTTTTTTTAATGCACCTTCTCAGATTAATTCACTGCGTGTCGTGCCCAGGGCTGGACTGGGACAAAAAATCAGTCTGGGCAAAATAAGAAAGTATTTCTTTGTGCCCCCCTCTCCCTGTTAATGCCCTACTTGTCTCTCAGCAACACTTTGCTAGACCCGCCCCTGCACAGTTACCAGCTGTCAGCTACTTAGCAAAGGATCCTGGTGTTTTTTGTCTCTCAGAAACAGTTCATAACTTCCCTTCAACTCATTCATGTCACCTAAAAGGTAAACCTGTTTCTCCATCACCTGTTCAGCTCTGATGATTCAGTAAGGACATCTCCTGGTGTCATCCTCATGTTTCCCTCTCACCAGATAACCAAACCGACATCATGACCAGCAGCTTTACAGCTGTGGCTCCAGCAAACATCAGCTGATACCAGAAATTAATATTAAATAAATTCTAACAACAGCTGATCAAGCTTAAACGTGCTGCTGTTGTTTAGTGCGACACCCGGCGGTTTCCTCTTTCTGGCAAAGTGGGCGATAAACAAGAGAGACAGGACGTGGCAGAAATGCCGATCAGCTGATTATTGATCAGTTTCATGATTGAAGTAGCAACAGGAGAGGGAGGGGGAGAGAATGAGAGGAGAATAAACAGCTGCAGCGTAAAGACACAGAATAAATCAAGCATTGTGTCTTTTTCCATTCTAGCTAAAGTACGGGACAAACTGTGTTCCTTCTCAGCTCAATCCGAAACACGTAATATTTTCTCTGAATGAGGGACGATTCCATTTTTTACGGGATGGTTGGCAACTCTACTAACCTTATGAATAAAATAACGTTCACTATCAGCAACATCAGAGCACCCACCCAGCTGTATAGTAACTCCGTCATGATAGCTAGTACACAGTACCAGTGATTGTAACTGATTGTAAAAACTCAGCACAACGAAAATAAACTCCACCTAAACCTGGTTTATATCTGACCCAGATAGACTGCAGGTCATAACTTCTTACCTGAAGTTCAGTTCACCTGACACTCGGACCGGCGCCTCGGGTCTCTCCTCCTCTTTCCCTCATCCACTTCCTGGCCTCTGTGGAAGCTCCGCCATAGCCACCACCAAACAACTGAGTTATTTTTACACATCTGCCAGCATCTGGCCAATCCACCACCTTTTATTGTTTATACCGTTATTAAAAAAACAAAAAACATCGGCCCATGAAAACGAAATATCACCATCGGCCCGTCCAGGTATGAGCGTGCCATCAGTGATTCCACTAGATTTATAGCCTCAGACAGGTCAACAGTTTTGGACTGAAGCATTTCTGATAACATGTTAGAGTCACTCAGAGTGTAAGGCTTCCAGCAAAATATCACATCCATCTGAACCAGATTCCCCCTTTGCTTCTACAGCTCTCTGTGCATTGGTCTCTGATGAGATCTCTTTTAGTACACACAAAATAACCGGCAATCTGTCCATGATATTGCAGCACAGTATATGTCAAGAAGATCTGCACATATTACAAAAGCACTGCAGTTCTCTTGGTGCCCCATGAAACACTTCCTGCTGCACTGTCAGTCTTATGTAATGGATGAAAGATGCAGGTATAAATAAGTGTTCTAGCAAAGAAAATACATTTCCTGCATTGGGAACGGTGTCCTTTATCCATCCTGCTACACCAGAATATGACCCACTCATCACAGATGCTCCATCATACTCTTGGTCAGCGTGGTCACAGCTGAGCTATGTTTTAAGTAGCAGTGAATATTAGAATTTCTGCTTTTATCTTAATGTATGTCTAGTTTTTAAGAGAAGGAGAAATTCAAACCAAAGGAGACATGCCATTTTTAACATGAAGAAACGCCCAGATTCACAGTGAGCGGGTCACAACGTTAGCATTTTAGATCTTCTATTGCAGTTAAAGGTCAGCATGGTTGTGGTCTGTTGTAATACAAACAAACAAAAGTACCCAGCATGAATGTGTTTACATTTGATCAAAGCCACAGTCTTTCTCTAACTTTAACTACAGTACTTGTAGTTGCTTAAAACTATGAGGTGGGATCAGTTATAACTGTGCCTCCAATGCAGCTTGAAATTTTTCTGCAGCTAGCATTCAGACAAATATGCAACATGCAAACATCCATACTACATGTTTTTGTGTGAAAAAGTGGGTATCAATACACAAATGCATTTTTAATATTTTGTGTGCAGAAAATGATTTGTGTAACCTGAACTGATGCATATCAGATATGAGCAAATGTCTTACGTGTTGCTCTGTGATTCTTCTGCAGCCTGAATAAAGGAAAGTTGTGCAGAAAGTGATGATTAAGGAATATTGAGGAAAATTATGAAATTACAGAAGAGGTTTGACAAAAAAGATATACAGATATAAAGATGCAGTGCATGCAATGTAAGGATCACATGATGGAGTGGTTTGTTTGAGCTTGTTTTATTAGATAATCAGAGTGATACCGAGGCCCTGAAACTTCACGTTGTTCTTTCTCAATATTTTGTGTACTCATGCCAGGAGACCAACAACCCCATAGTTAGCATGCAACAGTGGTGAAAAAAAAACAGCTTTATGTTTTTTGATTCACTCTTTTGGTAAAACAAATGGCTCAGCACAACACAGCATGTTACTACATGAAAATATGAAGGTGGTAGGAGAGAAATAAAAATAAGTAAGTATATATTAAGCTAATAGTGCACAGCACAGGCCTGCAACAGAGGCAAAACAAAGATGAAACAATCAAGCGGTGACAGCTGTGGCAAACAGTGACCTTGCTGTAAACAGACACCAAATATTTTCAGTCATCAACGAGACCTGAAACCCAGTCGCCGAAGTGACTGAAGAGGTAGCTAAACAAACAGACAAAGGTCAAATTCTCACAAACTGTTCCCTTGAGGAGCGAAGAAAGCAGGTGAAACATGCCAGAGGAAAACATTCCATAAGAATTTGCTGCCAGCTTGTTTTACTGGAAGTTTGTTATTTATCTAAGACGTGTTGTGTTTGTGCAGCATTTTCAAAACTATCATAAAGTGTATTTAGGTTGGTGTCAGGAACATTGTGCCAACTTGGAAGTCAAAAAGCAGCAATAAAGGCTCAGTTTTCAAATACAGTCTCAGTATCTTTATCCTGCAAAATGTCCAGCAGGACTGAATTTTTCAGACATGACCAAACACAGTGCGTAGAAGTTCCTGCTGAGGCCTTGCAGTTCAAACAGAGGTGGAAGCTGATGATTCATTTGTGTTTTATGTGGTGAGAGTTTCACACGGTGCAGAATTTTACATTTCAGCAGGGTTACGCAGTACAGTTACACACTGATAACTTTTTTGTATGATCCCAAATCACATCCTACTCTTCTTCAGTGATGTCTACAGCAAGTTTATTTTTCCACACCTGTGCTACAGCATGGATGCTCATTACATCCAACACATCAGTTTGATTCAAGGCACTGTAAAGATGAGATATGGCTTTCTTGGCTGGACCTGGGAGAAGTAATTGCTGATATCCTACTTTTAATATTGAAAGTAGTTTTTTGGGGGGTTTTGAAGTCTGAGAACTGAATGTATCTAAAAAAGAAAGTAAAGTTGGGGAGATTTGTCTATTTGTTCAAAGAACAGCCAGATATCACCTTCACCTTAGAGAGAAGTCTTCGAAGAAACCTCAAGAACCAGAGTCAGTGGGTGTGTGGCTGACTTTAGCATCTTAAATCTTTTGTTGTGGTTTCTTGGTTAAGGTTTGGCATGATAGGGTCTGGTCTCATACCAAAAAAAAAAAAAAAAAAAAAAAAAAAAAAAAATATATATATATATATATATATACACAACATGAACATTAAAACTGCTGTCCTTCTTTAACTTTAACTATAGTGCTTTGATTGCTTTTACCTGTTGGTGGGATTCTGGTGCAATGTAGCTCGGAAATGTGGCGCTCCAGACGTCCAGCAACATGCGAATGTACACTCATCAGACATGTTACTGTATGAAGATCTGATCAGTAACATAAAAATGTTCGGTAACTCATTACTGATGGTTTGAATAACTACCTGCTGCCTGTTTATTCTCACACAGACCTTCACTGCAGCCTGGATAAAGCGAAGGTTTTTAGAAAGTGATGATTTGGGACTATCGGTGAGAATTATAAAATGACAGGAAATGTTGAATCAAGGAAACAGGATGAATGAACGAACCACAAAAAGAAGAGTTTATCATCAAACTACATCTTGACATTTGCAACTTGACCTACTAACTTTGTGATATAAAGACAATGCATGCAATGTAAGAACTTTGTAGAACAATGGGCGTTTTGTTTGAGTTTGTGTTATCAGATAATCAAACTGATAATGAGTCCCTGAAACTTCCTGTTATCTCATGGTACAGAAAAACCCAATCTATTAACCAACTTTGGGGTTGTTGATTGTTTTTCCACTTTCTTTAGAAGTGCATTGAATATGCAGATGAGAAAGCGACTTAAAGCGGGGTGTTCGGACTGATCGCTTCAGACATCTTCTGAAACATCAGGATCATCAGGTCTACAGTGAAATCAACATGAAGACTCTCAGCCTGACGGTGGGACTGCTGCTTGTGCTGTTCATCATTTACTACGGCGATGCCACACGTAAGTCTGTTAGCCTACTTTTTCTTGACTGGTGGGAAACTCTACTGTGAGAATTCAATTCTGCATTTTTTTCTTTTTGTTTTTGTTTTCTTTGAAAATGATTGTAAAAGTATCATTTTTCCTAAATTTAGCCTCTGACTAATTAAAAGGCATGGACTTTGATGCCTCTTTAAATTAAACACTAAATTTTACATTTAAAACATCATCTTCCTAACACAGATAATTATCTCAGCTCGATGAAAAGGATGAAGAACACATATTTTGTTTGAAACAGCTTAATTTTTCTGTGCATTTGTCTTTTTGTACAAACACAAGTGCAGCAGCTAGGCCACCAAACTCATCTATGTTCACAGTACATGCTGAACAATATTGATTGCAGTTTCAGCAACATATCTGTTCTTCTACATTCAGGCCATCTACGGTCATTTCATGTGCATTTTGGATTTATCATCACAGTTGATCTACTAAAAAATAATATAGATGATGGAAAAGCATTGAAAACAAAGAAACAAACTGAAAAGAGAAAAAAATCTCTTTTCAGTGCTATGATGTTGGACGTGCGTCTGTTAGCCCACTGTCCACTCCAGGCAAAAAACGAACAAATACAAAAAACTGTTGTTATGACATAAAGGAAAATTTCAAATAATGACAGGATTTAAAAATGTATTTGAGAACTAGCCCAGTGTCAGATTGGTCACCCGTTGTCTACAACATGGACAACAGTGGAAAGAGGATGGACATAAGCATTATTAAAGAAGCCTGAACTAAATTAAAAGAGATAACTGCTGAATTTCACAGATTATCACAACAATAAATCAATGGACTTTCAATCTTGTTTTCACATGTACGTGCAAAGTATGAAAATTTTTTAACAGCTAACCTTAAAGTTAAATTTCAATAAATCTTTTTTATTTTTGCAGTATTTGTTATCTTGTGAGGCTCAAAAGCGTCCAGTTAGCTATTCCTCTAACTTTATAACGCTGATTTGATTTTCCAGCATCTTACTTTTTCTACAAATCTTACTTATTTTATTTTGTCATTTGGTGTAATTACTTCGCTAAAATAAACATAACCAGTTTCTGATCATCTCCTTGAATGCAAAATTAAAACATAAAGTTTAAATAAAAAAGTAACACAATATTGCCGCTAAAAGCTAGCCAGCCTAGTTTAGCGCTGGTTTGAACTTCCTTGGTTTGTGACTAATCAAATCGCATTTTTCTCTTTGTCCAAAGATGGAGTAACAGCTTTACTGAGGCTCTCAAACTGATTTGTGTTTCAAGAAAAACAGTGCTCTCAAGCAGCATATTCTTATAACACCTCTAAATATATCATTCTGTTAATGTAATGACATCCATTTGAATCCATCCATTACCTGTGCTTTTTGTATCTATCACAATTGATATAAAAAACACAGAACTACAGTATTTTACTTTCTTCTGATCCGAATAGCTTGAGAAAATCTTTAAATATATATATATTCCCCTCTCGCCCCTGCGGGCAGCTTTGATCCTTCAAGCTCGGGTCCTCTACCAAACACCTGGGAGCTTGAGGGTCCCGCGCTGTATCTTAGCTGTTCCTAGGACTGCGCTCTTCTGGACAGAGATCTCCAATGTTGTTCCCGGGATCTGCTGGAGCCACTCGCCTAGTTTGGGAGTCACTGCACCTGTTGCTCCGATTACCACTGGGACCACTGTTACCTTCATCCTCCACATCTTCTCCAGCTCTTCTTTGAGCCCTTGGATTTTCTCGAGCTTCTCGTGTTCCATCTCTCTGATATTGCTGTCATTCGGAACCGCTACATCGATCGCTACGGCCGTCGTCTTCTGTTTGTCTACCACCACTATGTCCGATTGGAAGTCCCACAGGATCTTAGCTCGGTCATTCACCATCACCCTTGGGGGCGTCTCCCATTTTGACCTCAGGACTTCCAGGCTGTACTCGGCACAGATGTTCCTGTACACTATGCCGGCCACTTGGTTATGGCGTTTCATGTATGCCCTGCCTGCTAGCATCTTGCACCCTGCTGTTATGTGCTGGATTGTCTGAGGGACATCTTTACATAGCCTGCACCTGGGGTCTTACCAGGTGTGATAGACTCCGGCCATGATTAGTGCCTCTGTGCTGTCTTTCAGTCCAGCTTTGTCCAGCCTCTGATAGGATTTCTGGATGTCAGCCACCTCTGCTATCTGCCGGTGGTACATACCGTGCAGACAGCGGAGGTGGCTGACACCTCCGCTGTCTGCACTATAAAGGAATAAGAAAAGGAAAATTAGACCCTTACATTCTGGCATGTTGTTGGACATCCCTCATTGTGATGTTTTTTCTTCATTACATTTTAACTGTGAAATCGAGTTAATAATCTTGCCCTAAGACATAAAATATGATCCTTCAAAGTGTATGTTTTATTAAGATATAATAAACATCACTGCGGTGCCTGCTGAGCGTTGACCTTAATTACTAAAAACATGAAAAAGTATTTGTGATGTGTTGGACATCAGTACTGACAAATCTCTGATTTTCCTCTTACAGCTCATGGAGTGAAACCAACACCTGACCTTTGCTGTTTTAAATTCTATGAGAGAAAGATCCCAACAAAGCAGATCAAATCCATCAAAAAAACTCACAGCAAATGCACGACACCAGCATTTGTGTAAGTTTGTCTTTCACAGTCTCTTTAACACAGTCACAAATATTTGCCAAAATAATGTATTATCCTCCACATAGAAGCTGTAATGCGTGGGGTAGAGCAGGTTATCTACTGATCGCAAGGTCGGTGGGTTGATTGCCGGCTTTCCCCCAGTCTGCATGCCAAATATCCTTGGGCAAGATACTAACCCCAAATTGCTCTCTGATGCATCCATCGGAGTATGAATGTGTGTGTGCATGTTGGTTAGAAAGCACTTAGAAAAATGTGTTCGTGTAATTGGGTGAATGCACAAGTTGTGTAAAGTGCTTTGAGTGCTCAGAAGAGTAGAAAAGCGCTGTATAAGAACCAGTCCATTTACCATTTAAAAGTTAATATGGAGCAAAATAATGATACAGATTTTTCTGCAGGATCAAGACACCCAGAGGGGATTTCTGCGTGAGACAGAATGAGAATTGGGCACTGAAAGAATTTGTCCAAAGAAAATAACACAATTAAGAGATGGAGAATCTACCGCGCAATAAGCCGAACTGCATCAATTACTCCATGAATTTGCTTTTTAATCCAGATGTATTGCTGGAGTTTTGACCTCTCCATAATGTGCCTGCTTAATTACTGTCAGCATTTCTGAAGACAAGATACATTTATTATGCATTGATTTAATTCAAAATAAAGATATCAATTTTAGAATTTGAATGAAATGTTAAAAATTATTTTTCTGAGGTTTTCTGTTTCGTTGCCACAGGTATATGAAATCAAACACATCTTTACAATTGGCAGTCTTTACAAGCATTTGTGAAAGAATCAGTCGCTTTGAAGACTATGAGACTTCTGTCTTTGAAATACCACAATCATCTGAAAGTGAAAGCATTCAGTGGCAGATTGGATAAAGTTACATGGTGGGGAGAGTGCAGAGACAGAGGGCTTTAAAAACGTCTCCAGTGCACTGCTGACTCAGCATCATGTGTTTCCATGGCCTGTGGGTGTAGCGTGTAGGTGGCCCAAACTTTTGTCCACACTGCCTACATTCACTTACAGCATGTTGTCCCAGCTTGATGTGACAAACTTGTCACATGTCCCAAAGAGCGCTGCTAGGCTTTCTTTGGTCTTGGAGATGTTCTTCAAAGCTCTGAGGTGTGTTTTGGGCTCATTAACATTCTGCTCTGTAACTTACTTTCCCACAAACATCCAAATCACAGTCGAAGTGCATTTCTCAAGAATGCAGTGCCACTTGTCCTCAGTCAGGGTGCAGTTGATTTCAGTTCAGGTTACCACCTGTAGAGCAGGAAACACCTCCTTATATTCCACTTTATTTTCCTGCTGCTTATCTCATACTGAGCTGTCGTTAATTTGAAATATTTTTGATTTTGCAGACTTTGAGGTTATTTCCAGGTTCAGATTTGTTTTCACTTTGCCATTGTGATACAGATGCAGTATATCCAAAGCATTTGTATCTCACTTTGTATTGTTTTGCTTCATTCTTGAATAAAATTTTGTTTCACACAAATCAACGACTCCATCTGACAGTGAATGTGTTCTTTTATGCGGTGGCCTAATTAATGGAATTCATCAGAATGCAGGTTATAAAAGTTTGTTAATGTAGTTGAAGGTCAAAGTGGAAAATGTGTCATAGGGAGGACTTTCACAAACTCATTATCTGAACGTGGGAAAATTATCTGAGCTGCTCTGAAGTTGAATGTGAATCTGCACAGACGTTTAAGTAAACAAATGCAATGTGAAAACTGGAAGTCATCAATCGTTATCAAAAGTTTAAAATTAAAGTGTAAAGAAATATTTTCATATTCATACATTTTGAATTTTCCATGTGAGAGAAGGAGTGGATTACTTTAAGACTTCATGAAGATGTGCTTTTTAGGGGGTAACCAGATTAGGAGTACTGGCCTTCAGGCCCATGTGACAAACAGAGGGAAATGGTCAGGCTGCTTTGAGGTGACAGGATGGAAACAGTAACTCAAATAACCACAGCAAAAGCACACACCGAGTGCTGCTCAAGTCAGTCATAAACAAAACTTTCCATGTGGAGGAGGAGGGGTGGATATTACTTTAAGTTTCCCTAAAGAAAAACACTTTTTAAAAAGAAAATTGCTTTGACTTTATACAAAAGCTAACAAAACTTTCTATGTAGTTTTGTTAGCTTTTATCATTTCACAATTTCAGATGTTAAACAGTAAGTGACCATATATATAGCCTGCTATGTATCAATAGTTCAGGCTGCTGCTAATAGAGTAAGGGTATGGAAGATAAACTACACTGCTGGCAGGGTTTAATACAACCAACTGGCACTAAGAATAATGAGGGTGCCCAGAGGACAATAACAGTATGTGTGTATGAGATTTAAAGATCATTGCATTTCATTTTTATTTACATTTTACAAAGCATCCCAAGATTTTTGGAGTTTTCCAGAGGAACAGAATGCTGTTTGAAATCCACGTAAATGTTACCACTGGAGGGTGAGCAGGCCAATGGGGAATTTGAGGAAGGTAATTCAGATTGGTTTGATGAGTGTAGCTGCTTGCATGGTGATGAGGACTGGAGATAGGAGGCTCTTCAGTCGGCAGAAGGACCACTAGAAACAAGGAGACGTAAGAGCAAGAACACAAGGTAGCCTCTTGGAGAACTCGGTTTGGACTGTTACACTCCTCTTTGGAGGCAAGAGACGAGCACAGCAGGTCTTATTACACTGTCATTAATGATGTAGATGATAATCAGGCGTGTTCGGCTGAAGAACAAAGAATCCAATCTACGTCCAATGGCCAACTTGGTAGAGAGAGAAACTGAAAACAAACCAGCACTCATTATTGTCAACGGGCACCGGGTACGTGGGAGGGATCCAGACACTGGCGGAAGGTTGATCACAAGCTTAATAATAAATAATAAGAAAAATAATAATACATACAGAGAGATAAGCAATGACACAGTGTGGATATGTAGTGGGGAGTTTCTGACATGAAGGTACATGAAGGTATTTCTGCTAATTTACATTGACTTTTAACATTATTATTTCAGTGAAACAATAAACGACCTTTCTATTTTTTAATGTTAAGGTAAAACAATCTGTAGTATCCCGTTAAAAACAGCTTGCTTGTATGCTGATAAGGACTAAGAACAGGAGGCTCTTCAGTCAGCAGAAGAACCACTAGAAACAAGGAGAGCACGTAAGAGCAAGAACACTTAAAGAACTAAGAGGCCTGTTACACTCCTCTTTGGAGGCATAATATTATGCAGAGACGTGCACGGCAGGTCTTACCACACTGCCGCTGATGAAGTAGATGATAATCGATGTGTTTGGCTGAAGAATCAGATATCCAATCTCCACCCAATGATCAAGCTGGGGGAAAGAGAGAAACTGAAAACAAACCAACACTCATTATTGTCAATGGGGCCCGGAGGCCAGTATGTGGGTGGGGACCCAAATCAAAAGACAGGCGGAGGGTTTTTCACAAGCTTTATTATAAACAGAGAGATAAGCAATGACACACCATGGAAATGTGGCAGCGAGAAGATGGTTTCTGAATTTGAAGCTTACTTTGCAGGTTAGAAGTGTAAGGTTCTGGAGGCCTGCTTACCACAGTTAGGTAGCTGACGAACTGGCGCTGAATACATCTTAAGTGCTGCCTCGCTGATTGCTGTCAGTGTATATTGACAAATGGCTATAGCCTGGAAATATGGTGCACCTAGCATTCAGACAAATATACAAGGTGTAAACATAATACATCCATACTACATAATATTGTGTGGAAAAACTGAGTATCAATATACAAATGGATCAGATATCAGCAAATGTTTCAAATGTTGTCTCGCGATTCTACTGTCGACCTTCACTGCAGCCTGAATAAAGGAAGGTTGTGCAGACAGTGAAGATTGGGACTAAGCATGCATTATCAGTGCATGTATTTATTGGTAGAGCACCGAGTGGTTTGTTTGAGCGTTTTATCAGATATATTGAGTCCCTGAAACTTCCTGTTGTCTCATGGTACAGAAAAAACCCAATCTATTAACCACCTTTGGGGTTGTTGATCATTTTTCCAGTTTCTAAGAAATGGTTTGAATATGCAGATGAGAACGTGACTTAAAGCAGGGTGATCGGACCGATCACTCAGACATCTTCTGAAACATCAGGATCATCAGGTCTACAGTGAAGTCAGCATGAAGACTCTCAGCCTGACAGTGGGACTGCTGCTCATGCTGTTCACCGTTTACCACAGCGATGCCTGTAAGTCTGCTACTTGTACTTGTGTTAGATCAGTTTTTGAATTTCTGTCTTTCTCTGCATTCAGACACAGAGTGAGACAGAGCGAGGACATCAAACTCATATAAGTTCATGGCCATGAAGACCAGTGTTGATCTTAAATTCTTTACTGTAATTAAGTAGATTGAATCCTCGTGTAAACAAGTGTGGTCACATGTTCGGCATGTACTTCACTGAGACATATTTATTTTTTTAACTTAAATAGGAGCCTTCAAACTGTATCTGTCATTAAGATATAACAAATTGTATTTTGTTGCATTAACCTTAATTATATCTGGTATGTTGGAGAAGTCATTAGAAGCAGACACAGCACTGAGTAATCCCTGTTTTTCTGCTACAGCTAAGGCAGTGATTTCTCCTGACTTTTGTTGTTTTCACTTCTTTGACAAACGGATCCCAAAGGCGAACATCGTCTCCATCGTGAAAACTCACAGACAATGCCCCACACCAGCATTTGTGTAAGTTTGTCTTTCACTGTCTCTTTGATACAATCACTAATGTTTGCCAAGTAAGTCATGTATAAGCAATGTATAATCGTTGAGATTGAAGCCGTAACTCTGCTATTAACCGTAAAATGTGTGAATATGAGAGCAAAATAATGATACTGACTTTTCTACAGGATCAAGACACACAAAAGGCTTTTGTGTGTTAAACAGACTGCAGAGTGGGCAAAAGAACAATTTGACAACCAAAGGAGATTTTGACCCAGCCTGATATGACAATGTCTTAAAGAGCTTCATCTGATGAGGAAAGTTTATAATGCAACAATATGTAAAAACATGTATTGAATTATTTTATAATTTTCTTTCACTATGCAATTGAAATCATTTTTCTATCACATTGTGTTGTTTTGCTTTATTCTTCATTAAAGTTTCATTTCACAAAACTCATCGACTTCATCTGATAGTGAATGTAAAAGTATGTGTGGTTTGTGGCTCAGCTGCAGGGGAGGGGTGGAGTAGCGGGTGCAGGGTGTGCTGTCAGGGAAGGCTGAACCCAGGGGCGATTCTAGGATCAGAGCTTTGGGGGTGCTGAGCACCCAGAGAGCTGCCCAGCCAGGCAAGATAAACCTGTCTCTGTCAGTCCCTGCATCCTTAAATGTTGTCCCGAGTTCTCTCTGACTGTCACTTTGGTGCATTTAAACCCCTGTTCCTCCCTGTCCTCATCGTCTGTTGTCTTAGTCTCCGTTATCAGTCATCATAATTTTACCATCTCTGTGCAAGTCAGCAAATTTCTTTATTAAATCATAAGCTTCTTAAATTCATCAAGTCTCTCTGTGCCTGGGTCCTCGTCACAAAACATGACATCACTGTTTTGTGCATTTTAACACAATTTAATCCCCACATTTGTGAAAGAAAAGCAAAACACTTTTTTGAAAAGTCTGTAACAAAACCATCAAATCTGATAAAGGTTATTTAAATGCCGCAAAAGAAGAATGGATTGGAATAAAAAAATACACATCCTAACCTTAATTACTGGGGGAGAATAATGAATGATGCTCATAGTGAGTAAAAAGTAAACTGAGTGCATTTTTTGGACAGAGATTCACTTTTAATGTGTATGTATAATATAATACAGATAAATAAAAATACTCCCAAAACAGAATAAATTATTACGAAATATTAATAAAAACTATAAAAATGGAGGCAACTTTGCCCGTGGTTGAATGTATACAATGTATGAAAAAATCTTTATTGCAGATGCTAATTTTACTAATTTATTAATAATAATTTTGTGTTGTAAGATTTATGAGTTTCACACATTCATAGTGGTACTTGGGAGAGCTTGACATTTTTATCAGGTGGTACACACTGTAACAAGTTTGAGAAACACTGATAAGTGTATGTGTGCTTTTGGAAAACATTTAAAGCTGCAGTACAGAATCTTTGAAACAAGCTTAAAACATTTTTAGAATATAAACAGAGCTTCTGCTTCTCTTTACAGCTCCTCACTCCACCAGGGCTGTTTGGCTCTTTCTGATAATGTGCAAATGTGATGTACGTACTGCGTAAAAATATATCATTAATTTTAATCTCCCCGATCAATGATAATGTTATGTTGGAATGTTGTTAAAGAGGGTCAAAATGTTTCAACCCAGTTTGTTTTGCAGATTCTGTATAGCAGCTTTAATATAGGGAGAACACAACTTCCAGATATTGTGAGTAAAATCAGGTTTTTTCTCTTTGTCAGTTTAACAGTTTCTGTTGTGCCTGTCACTGTTCCCTGTCTGTTTTCTTACCTGGTTCTTCCTGACCTTGTACTTTCTCCTCACGGTCCCCTCTTTCCTCTCTCCCTCTTTGGACTGATAATCATACACAAATAGATTGTATTCAATTAGATGAAAAATGACATTAATATGAAAAAAAAAATTCTATTAAGATCACTAACAAAAAGTCCTCTCTCAGTGTACTTTCAACCAAAAGGCAAATAACCAAACCACATGAACATCTAATAAAAGATATAAACATTGAAACACTGATCCAACATTATTCTTGATTGACGGATCATTTGATCTTACACTTTTACCTGAATGTGGCTCCTTTTTTTGTAAAAACTTCCTTATATCCAGTATGAACCTGGCTGTCTCTCTGTACACAAACACACACACATACACGCACAACAGGAGTTATAAGGTTAATGGGCATCCAGTCAGTTAGCTAGTTAGTATCCATTTCAAACAGGACAGTGGTAACAACAGTAGGCTACGGACAATTCTAAGTTTTAGATTTTAAATAGGCTGTATACATTTCAATGGGAGCAACAGGATGGTCAAATGTCACTGAATTTACTACTGAGCAGGACGGATTGTAGGGTAGCAAACGTTGTCGGAAAACACGTTTTAGACACTGCAGGTTACCTGGTGTAAGGTTTTTCAGCTAAAAAGAAACCTGGTCTGACTCCTACCTAACTATATAAAGAGTAACTGAAGGTTAAATGCAGCTAATATGTCCTGTTTTAAGCCAGGCACTTAAACCTCCGCTCCGCTGCGTCTCAGCCACCATGGCTCTGGCAGCATTTTTGGGGGTGCTAAAGCACCCCCAAAAATGGGCTAAAATCGCCCCTGGCTGAACCACACAGCTGTTCTCCATCACTGGGTCATGCCTGCCCTATTTTACGAAGATGCTGGGACCCGACGAGAGAGCGGTGTGGTGTGCTGAGCAGGAGAGGGCAGCTGAAAAACTCCATGAATAAATTGTCTTAAAAAATCCTAATCAGTGAAACAGCTGTCAACGTACAATGTCGTGTGGATGGTGGAATCATTTTTATATCACTGCTTCATTCTTCGTTAAAGTTTTATTTCAGTTTATAAAGCAACAATATGTAAAAACATGTATTGAATTATTTTATAATTTTCTTTCACTATGCAATTGAAATAATCTTCATTAAAGTTTCATTTTACAAAACTCATCGACTTCATCTGACAGTGAATGTAAAAGCATTTTCATGCCTATGTTTTGGAGTTCATCGGATGTGACTGGAACACCTCAATTCAATGATTTGGATGGGTGAACATATACCCACATAACAGACAGGTCTGGCTAGATCTGGTGTCAAGCTGGCACTGCTGGCTGACTTCTGGCATGGTAAGTGGTATGTCATCCAGATGTGGTCCAGACCTGGCGTAGATGGCACTGTTTATGTGATGGCATGCCACATCCGGCCCGATTATGGTTTGGGTTATGTGGTCCAGGCTCATAGAAAACAGGTCTGGCCTGGATCCGGCATTGAGCTAGCACTTCTGACTGACTGGTGTCATGGCAGAGTGTATGTCAACCAGATGTGGGCCAGGTTTGGCAATTATGGCATTGTTTATGTTCCTATTTTCCTATTTTAGTTAGAAAGCCCAAATGCCATGTTGCAATACTATACTGCTATGGTAGCCAATGTTTAAAATGCAGGTTTGACAGGTTTGTGAGTAGGGATGGGTATCGTTTAGGTTTTATCCGATACCGGTGCCAAATCGGTACTTTTGAAACGGTGCCGGTGCTTAAACGGTGCTCAAACCGGTGCTCAAACCGGTGCTTAAAGAATGGAGAACACAAAATTGGTCCAAAAACCTCTCATGTTCAGCTGTTTTTTGTAAAAAGATAACAATGTTAGCCTTTTCTGCAGCTAGAGGGCATATATGGTATCACTCTTGTCTGGAAGCAGTGCTTAAACAATGGAAAAAACACAAACTTCGTCCAAAACCTCTCATGTTTAACTGTTTTCCACTTTTTCTTTGGTCATTTTAGCCTTTTTGGCCAGGGTGAAGGGAGTATCTGCCATCAAACAAGAAGACAGCCGCATGTAACTACGACAGTGTTTGCTAGTTCACCTTACGTGCATTAATGTAATAACGTGGTTAGCCTACTCAACGTAAATTACACACAAACAACATTAAGCTACTCACTCAGAGAAGAACGGCTGCTGCTGCATCATCATCCGTCATCATTTCTGCTACACTGGCAGGGCTAGGGGCCAGGACTCTCCTCTTCGGGTTCTTGGGGGATGTTGCTAAGTCCGGGTCCGATAACAGGCACCACACCCGCAGTAGATGTGCTCGGTGTGAGGTCTCGCAGCAAGCTATCAAATACGGCGCATTTTTCGGCTTTTAACAAAATGCTATGCGTCGCCAGGTGTTTCATCGGATTTGAGGTGTTACCTCCTTTGACAGTATCACAGTATCAGCTTAAAGCACTTGTTGCAGGCTGCTGAGTTTGCATCTTTTGCTGTGAAGTACAGCCAGACTTTTGACCGCTTCGCCTTGGGCATTTTTAATCTGTAGCTCTGCTCTAAAAGAATGTACGTACCTGGGCCCGCCTACTATCCTCGGAAACGTAAAATGATTGGCTAGAATTCAAAGTGTATGACATCTCAGGAAAATAAAGCACCGAAATAAAGCACCGAAATGTGCCCTGCTTTTCGGTCTGGTTACTACCGTTTATGTCAGAACCGGTGCCATCATGCCACCGGATACCGGTACCCATCCCTATTTGTGAGTGTACACTTTATCTAAAACCCTAGTGAGGGTTTACTCATGTTTACCACTGGGTGGCTGCAGCTCAGGAGGTAGAGCAGGTCACCTACTGATCAGAAGGTTAGTGGTTTGTTTCCTGGCTTCTCCAGTCTGCATGTCAAGACAGTGAATGTGTATGAATGTAGTTAGGAAGTGTGTTAATGTGGATTGTTGTATAGAGCACTTTGAGTAATCTGGGAGAGTAGAAAAGCACTATATAAGAATCAGTCCATTCACAGTCGGAGCAGAGTTTTGTCATGTTACTTTTGCACTATCATGTTCCGGCACATGTTGTTATTACATGGCTTGATTAAGGTACACATTAGGCTGACATCTTGGGCCAGCACAGGGCCTGCAGTGTGTCTGCAACTGGCCTTGTGCTGGCCCATGTGTGGGCCACCTCTGGCAAACCAGATCTGGGCCACCAAAGGGCCGTCATCCTTTGCGGTATGTGGGCAATGTGTAAGCACATTGTATGGGCCAGATCTGGGCCATAACAATTTTGCTTTGTGGGTAGACTTTTGATGATATGGTTGTTACGCCCCAGTCTAGGGGTACAGGAATGCAACATAAGTTTGAAAAGATTGCCCCGCCCTGGTCCCCAAAACCATACACAGAGGGAAAACCAATGTCTTAGTGAATGGTGATTTATTTCACTACACTGCAAAAATGAAGCTCCGGGGTGAACAAAGGCCAAAATAACAAACAAAACAAGCTAAGTCAGGAGGAGGTGCTATCTAAAACCCTATGTGAAATCAAACATCAAACAAAAGACAAGCGCTACACCTAACTCCCTAACTGAAATAAACAGGAGAAAACA